TATTAAAGAGGGCACGTTCTGCGTGGAGCACTGGGTGTTATGCACAAACAATGAATCATGGAACACTACATCAAAAACTAATGATGTGATGTATGGTGATTAACATATCAATAAAAAATTTAAAAAAAAGAAATAGGACTTCTAATTCACTGAAATAAGCACTGGAAATATCTTAGAAAATGAAGTTTTCATGGGGTGGCTCAGTCAGTTAAGTGTCCGACTCTTGATTTCAGCTCAGGTCATGACCTCAAGGTCATGAGATCAAGCCCCGCATTGGGCTCCATGCTCGGCGCAAAGTCTGCTTAAGATTCTCTCTCTGCCTCTCCCTTTGGCCCCGCCCTCCACTTGTGATCTTTCTCTCTACATAAATAAATAAATAAAATCTTTAAAAAAAAATGGAGTTTTCAAATGATATCCTGATGGAAGATGGCAACTTTCGATAGGCAAAAAAAAAAACTTCCTGTTGATTTCAAATCAATTTCTGCCGTTTTAAAAAAATAAATGAATAAAAAACCAGAATACACTGAGTGCAATGGTGTTCTCCAAAAAGATATAGCCATGTTCTTACCCTGACAATCTGTGAATGGGAGCTTATTTGGAGAAACAGTCTTTGCATATGGGATTAAGTGAAAGATGCTGACATGATCTAATCAGGGTGACCCTAAATCCAACAACAGGTGTTCTGATAAGAGACAGAAGAGGAGACACAGACCCAGAGAAGCCACATGAAGACGGAGGCAGAGACGGGAGGGACGTGGCCACCAGCCCAGGGATGCCTGGAGCCCAGAAGCTGGAAGAGGCAGGGAGAACCCTCCCTTGCCCCGCCTGGATCTCCGCAGCCCTGCCCAGCCCCGATCTCCACTTCTGGCCTCCAGGCCTGAGAGAAAATGGATTGTAAGCCACCATGTTTTTAGCCATTTGTCCTGACAGCTACTAATATACAGAACAGACACATTTAACTCTGCACATACATTATAGAGAAGTGAAAAGCTGAAAAACTAAAGAATATAATATAAAATACAAAAAAAAAGAAATTAATGGGAAAGTTGAGGGAGAAGAGGTAGGTGAATAAGGAAAATGGAAAACACTCAGTAAACGTGAAAGTGTAGCCATGTGTGATAAAGGCATAAAACAGCTTTTATTCTCACGTGACATTTCAGATACACTTTGGAGTGAGCTGAGACTCAATGCTCAGAAGGCCACAGCGGAATCTCTGAGCCACTGGTTATTCGGGTTTCATAACTACAAGTACTTTGGCCACTGTTACTTCTAGAGTTACGAGCTACCACGTCCTGAGAAACTGTTCAGGGTAGGCCCGGGAGTTGAAAGGTCTATATGCACACAGACACTCAACGGGTCCGCGCCAGCCGACTACGCCTTCAAGTTAATAGCTCCCGAGTCAACCGTTTCTGGTCAGCCAGATGCTTTGTCTAACAATGGTTGGGGAGGTCGGACTCCTTTCTTGGGTGGCGGCCCCACCTGAGGACAACTGGCTGTATGATTTCATTGGGGGAAATGCGCACGTTCACGAACAGCGCGTTAAACACCAGGAGAAAATGTGTCATACATACCTAACAACATTTATGGACAATAATTATTAAACAAAGTTGTTCTCAGGAAGCAGGCATTACATGACTGTATCATGGGGAAGGTATGTTAGTAGTAGTTTAACGAGCGGAAAAAAATGATAATAAATGAGCAGTACCAGATCTCGCCCGAAGGAAGAAGCAGAGAGAACGGGAATCTGAGAACGAGCCCTGCCCTTGCATGTGGAAAGTGCCCTAAGAAATCTTCAAATCTCTCTTTAATCCAACAGAATAGTTACAGTTCTTACACAAGCACTGAGAGGTCATTATGTAAGTGAGCTAAAGGTATCAAGGGACCCAGTGGTGCTCCGAAGGACGACCCGCTCGTGGGCATGAAGGAAGCTCAAGAGCTTCCTCTCCCAAGTTCACGCCAACTTTGCTACTGTTTCCATCATCTCGCCATGACGACTTGGACATATCCGTTCTCCCCACCTACACCTACCAGGAGAACGGACTGTCCAGAACAGGCACCATTGTGGTGGTAACGTCACGCTCCTGATCACCCTCTTGCACAACCATAGGAGGGGCTGGCCTTGGAAGGCGGGCACTTTGGACATGGGTTCAAGGAAAAGAAGGAAGAGTCTTTGTAAAGAAAACAGAACGGGGAGGTGCTACCAGTTCACCGTGTTTGACGTCTTCCTCAAAGACCCCCTCCTCTGGTTACGTGCATAGAAAACATAAAGCCTGTATCCTTCTGAGAAAGGGGCAAGGACAAAGAGACGGGCTATGCAACAGGAGGAGGGCAGAGTGTAGAGTAGGAAAGAGTGCCAGGGACACCCTGTCTGAAGTGTGATGGCCATGATTCTCAATGTGGGCTCCCACGGAACCCTAGGGTTCCGTAAGTCTCATTGGGGAGCTTTGGGAAGGTGTGCTTCCCTCCCCACCCCCGACCGCAGATCTGAACATGGATGCTGCGGGACCTCTCCAGCTGCTACCAGGGAAACATGGGCAGGAGAGGAAGCAGCTGCAGGGGACAATGAGGAAATTCAGAAGTGGTCCAGGGGAAGGCTCAAGCCTGGCAGAACTGCAGAGGGAGCCCAGGAAAGCCCAGGAGGGATCGGTGAGGCTTGTGGCAACAACATGGACTCATGTCTCTCAAGATATCCCTCCGGAAAGCCTGGACCCCCTCCAACTACAAATGTGTAAATGAAAATACATTACAATGAACACATAGGTCCTGCCTCGTATGAAATGCAAAGGTCAGCTCAGAGTGTTTTGGTTGGGAGTGGGTTTTAATGATTCATCATCAATTATTCTAATAAGAGCCTGATAACATATTAGATCCTATTTCATTATTTTCTATTCTACTCCTAATATTCTAGTATATTTTATTGGAAATACGTTATTGCTAATATTCTATGAGAATATTAAAATCATTGTATTTTCTAATATCCTAAAACAGCATATTCTAATATTTGAATGGATTATATCCTAATAAAATTCTAATCATTCTAATAGTTATTTTTAACGTAATAATCCTAATATATTCACTCTAATACGTACTAATATATTCTAATTTTATTCTAATTCCAATAATTTTCTTATATCCCATCAATATTATTTTCCAAACTTGTATTTATTAATAATATCTCATAGTACTATATTCTATATATAGAATATATCCTCCTAGAACGTACTGTAGTAACACAGAGAAAACAGAGCTTTTGAACCTCATCTATTAAGCCCTGGCCGCCAGGGTTCATTTATCGTTAAACAATGCTGACCTCTAGTGGTCAGTAATATTAAGGAAGGGAAATGTGCGGCAGGGCATCTGAGGGGAATCTGATGAATATGGGCACATAAATATTCACAACTGTGGTATCTTCTCAATGGATGGGACCTATGCGTGATTCATGTTCATCTTCTGCTCTGCTTGGGACTTCATGGGCTGGGGTGTCTATTAAGAAATTCAGTTCTGTTTGATTTGCCAGACCCGTCTGGGTGAAGAGTAATGGAAAAATACAAGAGACCAGATAGATGATGGATGGATGGATGGATGGATACATAGGCAGACAGGTAAAGAGAATAGATAGATGATAGATAGATGGGTGGGCGGGTGGATAGAGTGATGGATGGATAGATGATGGATGGATGGATATATAGATACATAGATACAGAGATGAAGTGATGGATGGATGGATGGATGGATGGATGGATGGATGGACGGACGGATGGATGGATGGATGCATGGATGGATGGATGGATGTAGAGTGATGGATGGATAGATGATGGATGGATGGATATATAGATACATAGATACAGAGATGAAGTGATGGATGGATGGATGGATGGATGGATGGATGGATGGACGGACGGATAGATGGATGGATGCATGGATGGATGGATGGATGGATGCATGGATGGATGGATGGATGGATGCATGGATGGATGCATGGATGGATGGATGCATGGATGGATGGATGCATGGATGGGTGGGTGGATGGATGCGTGGATG